TCCTATTGGCTTTCCGTAAGTACGTCAACAACTCCTCATTGGCTATCCGTAACAAAAGTTTGGCTCCTTCGAACTCCTTGCGTAGGTGCGCCGCAGCTGCGGCGTTGCTTCGGCGTAGACATTCGTTCCAGTCTTTCCTATGGGCGCGTTCAGACTGGTCTGCGCTGCACCTTCGGCGAGGGTGCGGCGAGGCCTCGCCGAAGGACAATGTGAACGGGCCTTCAGACTCTAGAGCAGGGCTGCCCAACCTGCAGACTGCGATGGTAATTTGTCTGGCATTTCCCAGACAGCCCCGAATTTGGAATATTCTGTCCATATCAATTTTGAGTCGAAAGTCATAAGTTTTTTTTTGTCAGGTTCAGCAGCTAAAACTTGTTGTTCAGCAGCAGCAAATGTCCACTGTCCGGAAACACAGGCCTCAGTCTAGAATTTTGAAATGTCTTCCCAATAATTCCTGTTTTTGTTAGGTGTCTCCATTTCTGACCTTTTCTGGCTTCTTTCCCCTGCCTCCTCTCCTGCGTTGGCAGGAGGCAATGGTCTCAAATCAGGAAAGAAGTTCCTAATGCCTCCATACTCCTTGAAATCCCCTCCTGGTTTGACTCACTATCGCACCCTCCCCCCCCCATCGATCCTCAAATTTCGTGGGATGTACTTCTAAAAGAAATAACTTAAAATTTACATTATGTAGTAATGAACATCATTTCTCGCGCAGGAATTTTACTTCCGGACCGTGACACAGCCGGGACTTGTTAAATGGACCTTCCCACCAAATAGTTGAGCAACCCCTGCTCTAGAATATGCCTACATCAAAACTTAGACGAAGAGAAACGGCAGAGATGGGGATTGGATGAGACTTCGACCGTGAATAGAGCAAAGTACGACCACCTTTACCACCTCTCTATCCTCGAGGAAGGTGGCCACGGCTATGGGACGTGAGATTAGGTTTCCAAAACGCTCATCCCTCGGCTGCATTGTTAGTCGACCTGCATCATACCGCAGCCCACATGGCAACTTTGGTTGAAATGGAAGGAGAGTCCTTTGCGCCATGTCTCGCCCTCCTCCCACTCCCCGCCTGACTTCATTAGGAGCTGTTGCTAAGCTCTGTATGATATCCCTTTTTTCTCCGAGCACCCTTCCAACACCTCGCTTTCCGCTCTTCGGGAGTTGCTGTTGCTGACAATATTGCCCTAGCATGTGTCGATGGCGATGAAGACGTCGTCTCTCCTGCAAGATTCACGTCAGGCAAACCTATATGGCTTTCAAAGTAAGTCGATCGACGACAGCGTTTGTTTTGTGGCTACCTTTTTTTTTCCTTCTTGATACTCCTTGTCGGTCCGACTTGGAGATCTCCACAGGCGCGACGTTCGGTTTCTGAGGGTTTTCAGTTTTGCAACAGACAAACGAGTGTTGGCATTCGACGAGACAAAACCATGAAACAGAAGAGGTTTATTAATATTGTACTTTTGTGAGAAGAGAATGCTTAAATTTGGATACTTAGAAGTATTATTCTGACAATATCAACGGCTAGTATTACGCATTTAAAAAAGCACCTTTTTTTTACTGTGGCTTATGAATCAGCATATTTTGATGTCTATGAATTTATACAATGCTAAGGGCCGATTGTATGAAGGACATTTCCCCCATGTTTTACAGAAAAATCATCAGTTAACCGATGTCCGAAGGCCAAAAGTGGATTGCATGAACGCTTTCTTTAATCATTGGCTATCAGAAGCTGAAAAAGGTTTCATTTCCAGACATGTTTTGGCGATGCTTATGCCAGCGCTCGTATAGAGAAGATATAGTACTTGTGGAGTTGGGATTCTACTCCTCCCTAATCCCGTGCACCGCTGTAATAACAAGCTTAGCTTCAACATTTTAATGATTCCTGGAGTCATATATTATAAAAAATATGAAATAATTTCTTGCTTCCATATATATATTCATGGACTGCATAATAAATAGTGGTAATAAAACCTGATACTATATCGGGAAAGCCAGTACTTAATAGACTAAACCAGTACTTAATAATAATACTACATTTGTAGGGTGCAGGGAACAAGGGTTCCATCTAGTGAGGAATCTTGGTATTGCAACTGCGGGATGGTCAGCTAAAGTTTCATATGGAAAGTGTGACGTTAACTTTGCATAAACTTGATATCATGTACTTCACGTCAGATGGAATGACGTCTAGTTAACGTAAAATACACGTACATGCTAGGTGACGTAAATATAGGAACGTTAATTTTACGTTAACGTGATGTAATTTTCATGGCAATCGCAAGAAATGTACATTGTTTGCGAAAAATTGATATCTTGTTTACGTAAACATGCTGCTTGGGTGAAAGTGATTACATTCTTCTTTTTCTGCTTTCAATACTCGGTAACGCTTCGTAGACAGATGGCAGCTGCTACTATGATGTGTGAGAGAGGGGAGTAGATTATTGATGAAGACACGGAGTAAATGTTCCATAATTCCATATTTAAGAATTTGCACAAGAAATGAACTGTCTCAAATGGCATTAAAGACTTCAAAGAACTATGAGTTGCATTCAGCATACCAAATTTGGGTACTCAGCTGTATTATATAATTATAATTATATAATTACGAAAATGACATCACCCCAACTTTCTATAGTAGCAGCAAAAAACGTTCGAAATGCCTGATCCTGCATGAAAATACGCAGTTTGGGATGCTTAGAAGCAACATTGAAAGAAAACTATATTTTTGCGACAAAGACCAGAATGCCGAATGAAAAATGCACGAGAATTCCATCAGTCCAACTTTTGGCTTTATTGAAAGCCATGAGGCTTCGATAGTCATCTTCATCACACACATACCTACTCATATTGTGCTGCCGGACGAAAAAAAAAGAGAGAAGCATCTGGGTTGTACCGTTAAGGCATGGTGGTTTTACCATAGAGAGTATAACTAAAGGCTTCCACTCCTCTGGAATCCCATCCATTGACAGGGTCGGAATGTAGATGTCACAGTCGATCTAGCTTGCGCACGTCGACAACTTAGCAGCCGACTCAACGAGACGCGCGTGTTACGTTGAGGGATCCGTTTGGGTTGAATCCCCAAACGAGTTGATTCCCAATTCCGCTGTCACGAAGCAAGCCTCAGGGAGGTGTTGTTGATAAGAAGCCACCAGATGTCAATGCACTGTTCCGATTCTCTCCTACCCCTCGGAGTGCCGTCTCTATTTATACTCTCTATGGTTTTACCGTCTGTCTCGAATGCGCGAGGAAAAATGTTGACGTAAAATATTTATCGCGTGCGTGAGAAAAGTGTTTCACAGCTTTGATAAAAGTTCACTCCAGATGAGTCACAGATATCTCAGTGTTCGAGAGTCATTAGCCAGAGGATTGCTGGCATCTGAGCCTCTGAGTCCGAAACGCAGCCTCTCAAATCCACTTAAGAGTTTAATACATTCTCTATTAATTCGATCGCGACTACTGACGTCATAGACTAGTTGGAGACTACCTAATAAAATCCAAACCTCTCTAACCCCCCTTTATTGCCAACGCCAACTTGCCCAAATGCTAAGGAACGAAACCTCCTTGAACACGCAGCAGCAAAACGCAACGATGCCCTACGTACCCGGCTACGAAGAAGACGGCCTCCTCCAGAGCCTCAACATCACTTACCAAGACATCGAACCCCTTGCAGACGACTGCACCAAGGTACAACCCCCTCCCCCCACCCTTACCAACCTCCATCCGCTCTTTCCCACTTAAAAAACTCCATCTCTCGTCCCCGCAGATCTACGTGTGGCACACGCGGACGGAGAAGGTCCCCCCTGCCCCTCGAATCCACACGGACTACGAGAACCTCCTCCGCAACAGCAATCTACCCTTCCTCGAGACGCAGCTGTTCCTCGAGGACCTCGAAGCACCCCCGGATGAGAGCGTCCCAAAAGGACAAAAACAAGCTCCAGCGAAACCAGCTGGGGCGCAAAACGCAAAGAAGTAAAAAAGGGCAGCTGACATTATTTAAATAATTTATAAATGAAATAATTTATGCCCTATTTTTGGGTGACTCCACGGGGAACGCGTGCAATGACGATGTGATGCCCCTCGCTCGGTTCCAGTCGGTCCCAGTACCAAGTACCAAAGTACCGAAGTCCTTCGGCCCGGATGTCTCCGGGAGACAGCCGCCGACTGCCTGTCTCGATCGGAAATCTACCGGCAGGAAAATCACTTTCTTTCTCACCTCTTAGGACAAACTTCAGTTTCCTGCCATTATGATTGTCTAAAACACTTAGGGTATTTTTCATCCAGTCCTTTCATGACTCGTTCTTGCACATGTCCACTCCCTTTCTCGTCCCCTCTGCCACCTTCAAGAATCGATTCGATCTCAAGACTCGTCATGCAGAAAATATTGTAAGAAACCAATATGTTCCCATCCAGACTTCTAATTAAAAAAAAAAGGTTCATCGGTAAAAAGATTTCCAAAGTTCATCATCAAGGCAACACGACATCCTACCAGTACCTGAGTACAACTCTGTATCACAGAAATGCACTGGAAAAAACATACAGAAATTCACAATAAAAAGAGTCGTGCACTTCCTAGCCTTCCTTGCGACCCATTCCAAGCCGATCCAGGTCCATCTGGTACTTGATGAGGTCGTAATAGAATCCCCTTCGCTCCGTCAACTCCGCGTGGCTTCCCAGCTGGAACAGACGAGAGAGCCATCATGCCTTTTGTCCTTGACTGTCCTTGCCCTCTGAACGGCTCGCGCTGCTTTTTTGTTTTTCCTATCCTCGAATAAAAACGCTTGAAAATTGTTCTCGGATGGGAACAGGGTCCTTTCACTTTCGGGGTGATTGGAGTGCAGGCACTCGGATCGGGGAAATTTTATATGGATTTTGCAAGGGTTCTGGCAGGACTCTATTTATTCATTACTTAACTGTATTTTACATTATATAATGGCATTCAGTTGAGCGGGAATTAAATAAATTCCTTAACCCTTTTTTGATTTGAACATTGTGCAATTTTTTTAACGCTCTAAAGAGTCATAGGACGAAACTTCGTCACATTTCCCATCACTTCACTCATCCAATACAGAAAAAAAGCCGGATAAACCTGGAGCTACAAATTCCACTAGATCGAAACGATGAGAAGCCGACATTTCCCCGTCCCGAAAAAAGTAAGAAGAAAAAGAAATGCGACGACCCACCTCGACAACCTGCCCGTCCGCGATGACCGCGATGCAGTCGGCGCCCTTGATGGTCGAGAGGCGATGCGCGATGACGAGGACGGTGCGGCCGCGCATGACCTTCTCCAGCGCCGCCTGGACCGCCGCCTCGGACTCCACGTCCAGGGCGCTGAGGGGGTGAGACGCGAATCGCGTTCATCGCCGTGCTTCGAGCGCTCGAGTGCATGAAGCAGAGATGCTCTCAGTGGCACGTCTCGTGCCAGATCAACCAAAATTTCAACCTGGGACTGCCGTGGGAGCAGGACATACGAAGATATGTGGCAACAAGTGACCAAGATTCTGGCGAAATGATCTTGCAACCGGAGAGCTTCAGTCATGAATAAAGGGGTGTCCTTCAATTTCGTCCAGTTTTAGTTTCACTTACTATTTTTTAAACAAATTGTTGTCCGTTAACAGTCACTGAATATTTTTGCTTTTAGGCAATTATGTGGGGATTTTCATGTACTTTCTATCACACTACTGTTCGTATCGCCCGATCCCATGGCAGTCTCAAGTTAAAATTTTGAAAAACGCAGAAAACGAATTGGCAAGAGTATGGTAAATTTTCTAGGGAAATAAATATGACTTTTTTTTGTAATTAAAGGTATTTGAACGACATATTATTTGAAAGGTCATGAAAAGTCCGTTAGAACGACACTAATATCAACTTTCTATTTTGATTAGAACAAATGTTATGACCACTTAAGTAATGACGACTTGACCCAAAATCGGTTACTTTTTGCCCCTTTCTTATTGCTACTTCTCTGGAAGTATCGTGGACGAACGTCCAGTTCACGCTTGGAATCACAAGACCGGTACGAAAACGAAACGAGACCTGGTGGCTTCGTCCAAGATGATGACGACAGGATTCTTGAGAAGAGCACGAGCGATGGCGATTCGCTGCTTCTGGCCGCCAGAAACGGTCACGCCTCTCTCTCCGACCACCGTGTCGTAGCCTCGGGGGAAGGACCGGATGAACTCGTCCGCGTTTGCCAGTCGGGCCGCCTCGTGCACCTACGTCATCGAAGGCCTTTCAGAATCCGATTCCGAGAGTTCGCGGATCTGATCTGGGGATCGGTCACTTCTTCGTCGGAGGCGGTGATGCGTCCGTATCGAATGTTCTCCAAGACGGAAGTCGCAAAGAGGACCGGTTCCTGGGGAATGTACCCGATCACCCTCCCCCTGAGCCACGAGGGATCCAGGTCCCGGATGTCGTACCCATCCAACAGGATCCTCCCGGACTGCACCTCGTACAACCTTCAAAAATTCTCCACCATCGCTGAATGCTAAGGCAAGGCTCGGCAAGAAGTTTGCTCTCTCACCTCTCGAGAAGGGCAGCGATGGTCGTCTTTCCTCCGCCCGAGGGACCGCACAGAGCGACGACCTTTCCCTCAGGCAACACAAAACTGAAGCCCTTAAGCACTCGCTATATGATGGTAAATATGACACAAAAGAAGTATTACTGACTAAGAAGCTTTCTCTTGGTGGATATTAATGCTTCATCAGCTATATGCATCACTAGCCTTTTGAGGCATCAGCAAGCAAAAAGGATATAGTGATAATTCCATGACTGTATGGGTTACTTCATTCGAACGTCATGCAACCACTTACCTGGTTCTCTCGAGTTGGATAGGCAAATCGAACATCATCATATGTCACTTCCCCTTTAAGTTCCTCATTGGGTATGATGAGGCCTCCCTCCACGGGAACTTGCGGCACTCGGTCGAGAAACTAAATAGAACATCAGAAGAGATCGAGTACGGAAACTCTGGATCGAACAGAGGTTAACAAAAAAATGAAGACATACCTCAAAGACTCGAGCTCCAGCCGTCACACCCCTCACAAACTGACCAAAAAGGAGTGAAATCTGCGTGAAAGAGCGCTGCATCATCTGAGTGGCAACCAGGAAAGACATGAGATCGCCGGCCGTCAGCCGGTGCTCTTGGATCAGGGCGCCTCCGGCGAACAGCGTCCCCAGGACGATCGAATTCAGCGCTACATTCGTGAGACCCTAATGAGAAAATGAATAGTTTTCCAGACATCCCCATGCGACTGCACCGTCGAAGCTCCGAAGCAGACGACCGACCTGGAAGACGCCGATGCCGAACCCCAGTCGTTCGCCCAGGGCGGCAGTGGCACCGGCCTCCCTTTCGTAGAGGGACATCTCCGCATTCTCGGTGGCGAAAGTGCGGACGACGCGGACGTTGGACAATGCCTCCTCTGCCACTGTCGTCGCCCGAGAGAGCTGAAACACGAGCAATGACTCATCTGGACCTCACAATAACTTAAAAAGAAAGATCACTGCTTCTCTGGCTTGAAGGACAACGCCAGTGGTCTTCTAGCAACCATTTTTGCTCTTAAAGACAAAATAAATAAGAAAAACGTTGACCCATATAAAAGTAATCGGTTTGCATGTTTATTACATGAAAGAAAATATGGAAAATAGAAAATATGGTAGAGATTGAAAAGTCAATTTTTTAAAATCATAACTAATTGAAAAAAAAAAGAATCACGACGATGAGACGCTCTTCCAAATTGCATCGATAAATGGCATCAGCATCAATCGTTCTCCATATTAAATGCAAATGATTACAAATCGCTACATGGCGAAAACTCCTAACTTCTTGAACACTGACTTTTTAAAATACGGGTCAATCAAGAAGCAAGTATGAATGGGAATGACAACATCTCAACTATTGAGATTAGCAGTAAAACTCGTTCGAAAAGCAGTCTCCCGCAAGCATCACGACAGTTGTCTCACAATCTCATTCCGATGAAGAGCGCATTTTTGCGAAAGAGGCGGGAATGCCACCAGCCAGCAGGATAACTCGCTCGAATCACGAGTTATTGCATGATTCTCGCTAAACTTGTGTTGCTTAGAAGCGTAACACGATGAAAATTGAATTTTCGCGAATGAAGCGAGGAAGGCCATTCACTCCATTCACTACGTGAATGTAATGCATGACATGAAACCTTGGGCACTCGTAGCGAAACTCGGTAGTATTCCAGGCTCTGGCATAAATAAAGACAATACGCTACAGGGATTTTTGGACGAAAACGAAATTTTTCCGGAAAAGTCTTCAACACGAAACGAAAGGAAGGCAAAGAGAACACCCCAACTTTTCGCAATAACAGCAAATCCCGTTCGAAAAGCACGTTCCGGCAGCGCCGTCTTAAGGCATGGGCACACTGGGCAGTTGCCCAGGGGCCCCAGGATTCTAAGGGCCCCATGCTGCCATATTGTTCATGAGAGATCTCTTGGCAGAGTGGATAATTACTCGACCTCTCGCTGGAACACTGAGCTAAGAAAGAGAACTGGAGATGGCGCACAATACGATGGAATTGGAAGCCATCTTAGTTGGGTCCGTGGTGGCTCTTCTCCATTCACTACAATGGGATTTTCATAATTTCCCATCCCAGTTTTCTTGCTGTCGTGATCATGACGGCAGGCAGTCATGGTACCGGAGGCCTAATAATTCTGGGGGGAGTATCGTAGGGCTGAGAACGTCATGTCGGAACTCTTCTTTCATGCGGGCGAGTCTCCCATTTCTCGAGTGGTGACCTTCTAAATGAATGCAAGCATCTCAAGCACTACATGGTTCTTGATGAAAATTGTGAGACTCTCCCTGCGTTGTACAGAAAAATAATTTCGGACAACTTGAAATCTGTGTTTCCCAATGTTGAAGTTGCACTCAGAGTGTTCACGTGCACGATAGTGACCAACTGTACAGGGGAACGTTCATTTTCGAGATTGAAACTTACAAAGAATCAGCTTCGCAGCACACTGGGGCAGCAGCGTTTGAACTGGCTTTCACTCATGTGCATGGAAAATGACATCCTGAAGACCATTGACTTCAAGCCAATTATAAATCAATTCTCTGCAAAGAAATTTCGCAACAGTTTGTGTTGATTAATCCTCGCTTTACAGCATGTTTTTTATGTTTAAACATTGATTTTGTTGAAAGTACCAATAAATCAATAGGCTTAATTTTATTGACCGTTTACATTTTTATTCCCGTGGGTGGGTGGGTAGGGGCCCCAGTGCATTGCTTAGCCCAGGGCCTACAATACTGTTAAGACGGCCCTGGGTTCCGGTATGCATCACCATAGTCTGAGGTGATTGCAAGTTCATTCTCGCCCGTGACAAAGTGGGAGGAAAGGTCTGACACTTTTCCGAGGTCGGTACGTTGTCAGCCTTCAAAAGTTAAAAAATGGTCTACCTAAAAAACTTCAGGGTCTACCTAGGTATTTAAAAAAATTTCGCGCATAGGTAGTCACTTTATGGACACCCTGCATTTCATAGGGTTTAGAGATTTCGCCTTTCTTCACATATACGAAAATATCGAGCTAACCGCCGAGAAGTGCACGAAAGAATAACAACCCCGAGACTACCTCGGGGTAAACGCCAAGGAGGCCAAAATCCCACTCACCCGAGCGCTGGTATCTTTGGAGAGCCGCCTGAGCCCGGCACCGATCACGGTCCCGACGAGGATGAGACTGGGCAGGACGAGGGCCGAGCCGGCCATGAGGTGGGGGGAGATCCAGTAGAGGGACACCATGCAGCCTGCGATCTGAGGGATGCAGGCGATCGTTGGGGGATCCGACGGGGAAACGCGGACGGATTGGGGAAGTGGGACTCGCCTGGGCGCTGCTTCGCAGTCCCTGAGAGACGATCAGCTTGGTGCTGCTCTTCAACTCTTGGATGTCCTGGGTCAGTCTGCAGAGGAACCGAAATGGGAAAGATCGTTGGAATTTGCCACTATCAGTTCTGTTTAGCAATGACACGTTCGAGACTGTTATGGGAGGCCTTCCACTTCCCATCAAGAAACATGGGAAGAGATCTGATGGTCATGAAAGTAAAAAACCTGTGGAATTCCATAATCTGTCGAAACTTAAAAAAAAATCAAAGTAAATTTATTCTTTATATTTACCACTACTCGAATAATCTGATACGGAGTATATTACAATCTCAAGCCATCACAATTCACAGCACTCCCAATATTCACAGACCGTCAGGCCCCACCTGCCAACAAGATCGCCAGTACGATGAGCATCGAAGAAGGCCATCTCCTGGATGATCAACGAGTTGAACAACCTGGTGCGAAGAGCGAAGGCCACCCTCTCCCCCACGGAGAAGAGGCTCGTCACGTAGACGAACGTGAAGAGACCCTGAAAAGTGGAAGAGAAACACACGCGGTCGTCCTTCAGAGATGATGATGTGGGATGGTAATCTTGGCTCCTGGTTGAATTCGCAGGATATGATTAGTTTTAATATCTAATCTGCTCTAAATTGAAAGATGGAATTAATATTTTCATGGAGAACATCAAGTATGAAAAACATTAAGGTTGTATGATGCTGGTGAAAGCTGTTGCTTTCAAATGAATGGGTTTTTTTTTTTTACATGCTGGCTGCCAATGATTTTGTGCAGTAATCTGTCTAGTCTGTGCCAAGTTCAGAAGTTTGCATATAAATCGCTTTCGTATTTTTACATTTGATGAATACAAAGTCCATGCAGCCCGAATTATTTCAACACGTTTCAATTGGACGAGATGGTTATTGAGAAATGAGGCTGAAGTTACATCACAATTAGGTCATGACACGACTGCTCGCATCAAATCAGGTGCCAAAACACCTCACATGCGTCACTGCATTCCCTCTTTTGCTTACCTGAAGAAGGTAGCAAACCATGAGCTTGGTGGCAGGGGTTCTGATCATGGAGAAATAGTCGTGGGTGTGTTCCCCACGGGCCAATACTGCCAAAACGTTTACCACCTCTCCCAACAGTTTTGGGATGAAGATGTTCAATCCTGCTGTGACTAGAGCAGCCTGTCCGAGGAAAATAGACAATTTAAGAATACAAATATATCAATAATATCATATTTAGAATGTGAATTATGGAAAAAATGTACACATTTTTAGGAAATCATTATGGGTAAACAAAGTTAAAAAGAAAAAGCTACTAATTTGGCTGGATCATGGTCCTTGGGAAATAAGACTGTACAGATTCATGGCCAGTTTCACAAAATATGCAGAACTGAAACCAAAAATGAGCCAACAGGCATGAGAATGGCTCACAGTGACAGCAACAAGAAGTAAGAAAGTGTGAGGTCTGAGGATTTTCCAGAACTCCTGCCAAAAATTGCAAGAATCCGAAGACTCGTCCGCGAGGGGATGGATGGAGTTTGCTTCGACGATGCGAGACCGGTGATGGTTCTCGCCTGTCGAGTCCCTGCACAGGGCAATGTGATACCGTCCCCCTTGATGCAGCATCACCACACCGGTCCCAAGCATCCACATGCTGACTTTGGTCCTCAATGATAGGCACACATTTCTGCTGTTTGGGGCAAGTGGTGTTCCTGTGTTACCATGCAATTCTTTCATGGTGTCCCTAAAAAAACGAAAGAGGCGTCCTGATCCCCATTGACTTGCGGGGACTTCTGCAACATATTTATGTGCAGCCCTGTGAGGAGAAATACAATTCCTCCATTAGTACATGTATGAATAAGTAATTTCATCACGTTTAAGAAGCTGACCTGGAGAAAATGTAGCACGGGGTTCCTCCACCGAGCAGACGAGCAAGTGGGGCCTTGCATCTCCAAGTTACCAATGGAATCATTCCTTATAAAGCAGGACTGTCAAAATTCACATCCTATATTATATATATGACACTTTGGCATCTGTTTGAAAAACATCCATGGGTACACATGTTTTCAGCACTGAAAATCAAGGTTCATGCTTCACTTAAACATTAGGCAAACATTAAACATGGAGATACCATGATTGTAGGAACAAGCATACATAAGGCATGTCAAGACCATAGCAAGGCTTTTTTCAAACTTTTCCTTCTGAAAAAGAAAATATCATAAATGGGATGTGAAAGAAGCATACCAGGCAGATCAAACTAAATACAAAAAGAAGTTCATATCACAGCAGAAAAGGGAACCAAAGTGGGTAACTAAAAGGTTCCACTCGGTTTGGTGCCATCATAGAGGGTGGGGCAAAAGTTACTATACACTTCTTGTATACCGAAAATAGATGTCTTGATAATTTGGTACTCTTTGTTTAAGGGTAATACTGCTGGATGAAGCTGGTAGCATTTGAAATTACATTGCAAGATCATTTTTAGTTATTATTAGTGTTTTTGTGGTAAACAACAGTCGATATGACATCAGATATTAAAATAACTTCCAAATTCAACCATATTTAACAACTATAGTAGCTATTGCCCCACTCTGTATAAGATGCAGCAGTTGCTCCAGCTATTACTGACTACCCATTCTTTCATGAAAACAACATCAAGGTAACATAGCATCTGGTTTGTGTGTATGTGTTTGTTTTCTGACAATGCCACTCTAATGTTCAGAAAAGCTCTAATGTTCAAAAAAGCTAAGCTGGTCTCCATAGCAATGCCAGAATCTCCTATTGAGCCAGATCTGTCATCAGGTTATGCCATAGCAATGATGTGATCTTGTATCACCTTGTTCAGATATAGGCAATCCCACAAAACACCTACAGATGAAAAGACTCAAGCAAAGTCAGAGGAGTGGACCATGGAGGCAGGAGGCAAGGCACTACTCCCAATCCCACAATGTAACATCATGTTGTATGGGAAAAAGCAACACATGAATTTAAAAAATTATATCTCAGCTCTTACTGAAACAAATTTTCCAAAACTTGAGTTGTGAGTAAATTGAAATATATTCAATGCACTTCTAAAATTTCATGAAAATTTGTTCAGCAAGGCTGTGAGTGATTCTTCAGAAGAAAATAAGAAATTAAAGTCAGAAGTGAGGGTTGTTCCAGTCCCTGCAGAAAATTAAACTGCCTGCCTCTTCCTTCGATGCAGATAAAGGAAAATATTATGGCACCTGAAGCAAACTCTCTACATTGATACTATTTGTATTATTTAGAAAAAAAAGATACATCAATATGAGATGCAAGAAAATGCTAGCTAAAAGAATAAATGTTAGCCTTTTCAAGAGCCCAGCCCTTGCAAAATGATTAATAATTAAACATAACATAACAGCAAATGTATAGTGCATGTTTCATGAAATAAGTGGCATGAGCAGAAGAGGGAGGAGGATGATAGGTTTCTTCATCCTCCCATCTTTCAGGCAGATCTAACCTGAATTGATGCATATAATAAATGATACATTGTGCACCTGCACACCCTTTTCTAGCTAATACTGTAGAATGGAAGAACTCAATTGAGCCAGAACAACTTATGTCATTCCTGAACTTTTTAAAGGGATTGAAGACTGATTCAGCACTTTTTCCATGAGAAGAATCTTTCGACTTTGGTATTACTTATGAAAAGTGAAGATTCAAGAATTGAAAGAAAAAAATAAAAAGGTAATGATTCCAAATCCAGACTCAGCATAGAACAGAGAACCCATTTGACCTTGGCTACTAGACCTTCAGAGACCATATCACATCAAAAGGGACTAAAAAATACAGGCACTTGCCATGCGCCATTCATCCATTTCTTACGTGCACAAGTGCCTCCAACGGGATGTGGCGAGGGAGCCAACCCAGTCTAAAACTGGATCCCTAGAGAACCATGGGTATGTAATAAAATCTTAATTTTGATATTTATGCATCAGAAACTTCAACGCCTGTGGATAATAATTCCATTTTATTCTTTCATTTTGGCACTTTAATCATCACTTGTTACCATAGATGGTATGTACTCAACAGAAATTCCTTTCTCATGATCACAATAAGTACAAATCTTTCACCTTATATAGCTTCCACTTCATTCCAGGTCTCTCCTCAGTGTAGATGAAGCCCATATAAGAATTTCAGAGGCACTTAAGAGTTACTCAATGAGTCATTCTCTTTTCACATGATGGGAAATCACAAATATTCAACAAAATTCACAAATATTGGGTAAGAGATATATAAACAGATCAAATTCAAAGTGAACAAGAAAAAAAAAGCAATATATTAACAAGATCAGGAATGAGTGCTTGAAAGATTCTCAATAACATTTTTTTCACTCAAAATAAAGCAGGTATCCCTCTAGACCCTGTAACCATTTCCCCCCACAAATATCACAACTAAAAATATTTCTCCTTGAATCTATACTAATTGTAAATGTCCAGGATTATTGCTATTAAGGCAACCTATTCCATTTCAATTTCATTCTCTCACCTCATCAATTTCCTAGTAATGCTTACAAAATCAGGAAAGTTGAAAATCAGTATCACAAAGTGATGTGTGAGATTTAATGTATTCCAGTGAATGAATGAATAGATTCAAATAAGAAAAAATCAAGACAACCATATGCCAACCATGGATACTGAGAATCACAGAATATCACAAGAAGGATAACACCATACACATAAGAATAATACACAAAGCAAGAGAATCATGTGGAGAAAGAGAAAGGCAGCTTGGTCTTCAGTTTGATTATCAAAATTGAATTGCTCCATACATAGAATCCCCAGAGTTCTGCACCATGGGCTGTACTTGCTCAGGTTCATCCATTTCATCACTCCCTGCAGCCACATGAAAACGACGATTTTGCTTGCGAGCAGCATGTGGCACTATGTCCTGGAGGCTGTAGTTCCCAAAAAGGAAGAAGCCAAGGGTGGCCCCAAGGCAGACACTGATGAACAAGTATCCATTGAACGTCATTGCAACCAGCATCAGACAATAGCCAAGTCCAACTTTCGCCATGTGGAATATGGAAATCTGCAGGTGAGCACACCATCTGCAATCATAAAATGAGATCCCTTATCTCTGTAGCCCATCAATTCGATATGCCTGGATCTGGATTAGGTCAAGTCAATGACAAGCTGAGAAGTAGGAGAGAAAGGGTTTTTGGTTTTCACTGGGTTTTCATTAGCCATCAGAGATGAAGATTTGCAGCATAATGTATGCTGTTGTATAACAGAAGAATAGAAGTTGAGCAATTTTAGAAGCAAAATGACACTCCAACTCTTTCCACACATGACTTTTTAAAATTGTTTTCCTTGCATTGATGGATACATGATCAACCTATCAAATAAGACAGTGCCCTTTCAAGAAGATTATCGTCAGTTTAATTTTCCTCCCCGATTCTGAAAACATCAGTCACTTGAATGTTGGGTCAGGCACACTACACTGCAGTTTCTGTACAAGGATCACTTGCTATACCACCTTCTATTAATCCTAGTACATGGAATTAGATTGGGAGAACCTCAAAAAATGCTTGAATGCACAGAAATCCAGTTTCTCATTCAGACATTTTCATATTTTCTTTTTTAGATGCTAAATTTCACAACCAGAAAATCTCCTGACCAAATAGCAGCAAAAGCTTTCAAATTACTTCATGAAAAATGAAAAATAAAAATTCCCTACTAATCTTCCATTTAAATTTAAAACCAAATCATTTGAAGTCAACAGAGGATCACAACAACTTGGGCAGCAATCATAGTATCACAGGGCTGACTCATGAATCACATGGACACAGTCACACATGCACTCATCTTAAATGCCAGTAATACTCAATGGCTTAATGCATTGTGGTGCAGCAAATGTTTTGATGTGTTACAATTTCCACAGACCAATATGCATCTTCTACAGAGGCTACACAATTCTCCAACAAATCTCTTGGGTATGTGCAGCCATGATCAACTACCTGATGTGGTTCTGTATGCAACAATGGTTCAGTGTTCATCACTATCCCAAATTGCACTTTATTTGAGTGGGTAATTAATTGCTTAGGGAACATGCTAGGAGTTCATTTAAGTAACGCTAAAATGTCATGTTGGTTCAACAAAGGAAAGTCAAAGAATTCACACATGCAAATTGCATGGTTTTGAATGCATCCACAGAAATTCAATATAACTTTAGCACTAAATAGATTAAGGATTGCATGGAAACACACACACAAGAGCAAGGAAACAAAACTTAATGATGTAAGAATTACTCCAATGGCAGATTTGGAACTTTTTATGCTGGGAGGGGAGGGGAACTTGATGATTGGATTTGGGATTGCCTATCCACCCACCCCAGACAATCAAAATAGATTGCAGATCCAACATAAGGCAAAAGCATTCCTACATGATGCGTTGAGCAATTCATGAAAAAAAAGCACAAGATGGCAATAACACAGAAAGATGCAAGCAGCTGGTCCATATCCAACACCTAACCACAATATACAGTAAGCTACAACCCACACATACAACAATGGGACAAAGGGTGCTATATGCACATTGAGACTTCATCAAGTTGGTGAAGGACATCCAAAGAACCACTTAGTTCCATGCTGAACTTCAGGTAAAACCTCCACCCATGCTACTATCTTGCATCTTTCCTCAAGAATCAATACCTAAGTCATTGTAGCATGAAGACATTAAATTAATTTTAAATTAAAGTGAAAACTCATTAACTTGAATCCCGATAAGTCAAAATTCTGCTTATCTTGAAGTTCAATACTTGGTCCCAGTGGAACCCTGTAGGACACCATGTAAAAAGCTCTGTTTAACTCAAATTCGCTTATCTCGAATGAAATTTTCATTCCCTGAAACGATTTTCTCACGGTTAACTCGAATTCAGGGTGAAAAGGGGGGAAAATTCTTCTCATGGGACTTTTTGATTTTTGAATAGAATGAATGACAAGAAAACCATTCAGGAGGATGCTGTTTTGTTTCTTTTTTTTTTCTACTTCTCCCTCCTCCCACACAGATGCCTGTGGAGAGGATTAAACCTGATGATTAAAACCAAGAAGCTTTGGCAATAAAAAAAAGCCTCCAACATTCGCTCTGTCATTCTATCACCCTCACTCTGAGCCATTCTGTCCCCTATGTCCCTTAACATGAGTTTTTTTTTTTTGGGGGGGGGGGGCAATTCCTGATAACTCGAACTTCGGATAATTTGTAACTATTTGCCTGGTCCCTAAAAGTTTCAGTTAACAAGTTTTGACTATAAATAATCATTTGTCTACACACTAAAGAACACAACTAGATTTGTGACAATAGACTTAAGGCTAACTGGTCATCTGACATAGACTTAAGGCTAACTGGTCAACAGCAAAGCATGCTACAACAACACAATTAGCCCACCTCTGCGGCACTACTCTACGTCGAGGAAGCAAAGCGGTTTCCTCCTCAATGGTGGCACTGGACCTTGAGAACAATGACACCTCCCCATGCTTCAGCTGCTGGTAACCAAGATAATTCTGGTAGATTTTCATTCCTTCATAAAGGAAAGCCACACAGAGCATCCCAAGGCAGGTGGCAAGCAGACCTGTCATGGAAAGAAATCAGAACAATTAGACATCAGTTCTATACAAGCAATGATACCATAAGGATCGAGGATCACTCACCTGCCACTGTCCGTGTGGTAAACCCCTCAAAGAGCAAGTCATTGATTTTGAAGTCAAGAAAAAATGAGTTCTTCATTTTTCACCAATCCTCATGAGATGAACAATTTTTTCAAATTATACAGATGATTGTCACTTCAGTAGGAAGTTAAAGACTATTCCACACCCCTGAGGGGTATCATTCCCAGAAGACATCTTTCCTCATCTGTTGTCTTTTCATAGTCCATCATAGGCTATGACACATTCAGAAACCTGTATTCAAGGAAAAAAATGTTTAAGCTTTCCGAGGCTGAGGACCATTATAGAAATACCAGTGTAATCTTCAAACAAAGTAATGTCTCTTGTTGATAGGGAACCTTCAATGTCATATGAGGAAAAGCAGTGGAACCAACATGGATCCCTGTGGCACACCAAATTCTATTTCCTTTACTGAAGTAGATAAGCCCTTGTATGCATCAAATTGCTTACTCTCATTTAAATAATTTTTGAACCACTGATACTAGTTGACCTAGTTCTTCCCATATCTTCTCACCTACTTTCATTACTACAATAGTATTATTACCCCTTTAAAAAACCAATTTGATTTATAAAGTGTAAGTCTTTCTTCCAAAGAGAGCTTACTGCTCATGAATCTATCCTCACATATGCTCAGATCAAGCAAAGCAGATGTAAAATGCAAAAAATACAAACTACAGAATTGCTCCTGTAAACCTAGTTGTAATTGTCAGCCAGATCTATCCTTGTTCATACCTATTATATTGAGTTCCTGCGTGAGCTTTTTTTTACTGCACCAGAAGGCCTGTTCTCCAAATAAAGAGCATATTCAATCTTTCAGTATGCCTAGACCTATTTCAACTTATGCCATGATTCCAAGAGCTATTAACCCAAATTGATTGACTCTCATAGCCTCTCGACGAACGTTACAGGCCAGCCACGGACCACCGCAAAATGGGTTAGTGATTATACAACCAATTCCTATGGCTTTCAGCATAGCCCATCACGATACTATGGACGTTTGATGGATACAACGAATGACTGAACACTGATCCATGTCAAAGATTACACGCATTGAGTGTGAAATCACCGTAGCACAGTGTGTTTAAGTAAATAGTAAAGGCCACTGGAAACCCTGAAAACAAAAAAAAACTCTCCAAAATAAAACCTGCCAGTCAACCCCTCCCCCCACCTTCCTAGGATCTTGCCACTGCATAACTCCTTATCCCAAATGTTTCCAAATTAATTTGACCAGAAACATGTCACATCCATTGGGATCCCTTTCATTTACAACAAACACCAACCTAGCCTAACTTTATGTGCAGCCCTATACCCTTCGGGGGTACGAGTTTAACCTTAACCTTCCGGAATTGCCATGACGGTATGAAAACAACGTAGCTGATGGAGGTCACGTGCTCCCTCTGCAAGCTGCCATTCCCATCACTACCCGTAACAAGGTTTTTGAAGTCGCAAGTCACCGACCCAGGTGGTTGATGCCACGATGTACTCCAAATGTGCTGGGGAACGGCTTTAAGAAATTTCATTTTTATTGGCACCGTTAATTAGGGTATGTGAGATACCGATCCGAAGAAAAGTTTTCAGTACGACGCCCCTTTGGAGGCTTCCTGCTTTCCTGATGGCGGCTCCCATATCCCCTGACAGAGCCGGATTAGTCCATTAAGTAGGCCTAAAATCGTTAAGATATTCGGGATTCTGTCGGCCAGGCCTGCCACGCCTACATCGCAGCCATGGACTTGGAACAGTTAGAGAACGAAGCAAGGGCAGCAGCCCTGAAGGAAGTGAGCAAGATGCTCCAACGTCCCGACCAGCTCGAGAGGATCGACCAGTATGGAAAGAAATACGCAAGGCACAAGGTCTCCTTGGAGTCCAATCTCAAGTCTGCTCTACAGGGCCAATTCGACTCTGTGAAGAACGGCCTGGCCCAGCTCGAGGGGTCCTTGGAACACATTGGAGAGATCAGGAAAACGTGAGGGTCTACTGTTCATCGAAATTTTAATCCCTGCAGGCTTATTTATTGGGAATATTTGTAGGATGGCCGAAATTTCGGAGGTCCTGCAAAAGGTTCCAGCCCTGCACAAGCGTTTGGCCGAGTTAAGGGAGGAACAGGCTAGCTATGGGCAGTACCAGGTTGCCATGGATAACATGAAGCACATCTTCACCGTCCCCGACAGTCTCGAGAGAGCACAGCAGGCCATCCAAGAAGGAAAGTTACTTAATGCTCATCAGGTATGTACGAAGTTGGAGGAAGTCATATTCATTACATTTTCTGCTTGATTGATACCTACGCAGTATCAATCTATCAATTTTGCTTGTATCAGCTTTCTTCATTCATATTCTGTTGTCATTTTATATCAATAGTCTTCCTCTTCCTCAAAATATTTTCTACTGGGATGGCTGGTGTTGGAAGCAACTTAGACTTATTACCCTATGTTTTGCAGATATGGGATATGATGCTAATTCCTTCCTAATTCTTTTTTTTTCTGCAAGGATTATACCTTTTCATATAGGAGTTTTCCCAACATTTTTCTTTCCATGTTTCATTCCTTTAAGTTATTATTTCTAAATTTAGTTCTTCAAAATGATATGTTGCTTTATGGAAATATGCATTATTGGGAAGATAGTCTTTGTATCTTGTATCTTGGTATTTTACTGCATTTGAAGAGGTATTTATCCCTGATGAGAAACTTATTTCAGGTTTTTTATTCATTATACTTTGTGCATTTTGGTTTTTCTGGACCAAAAACTTCTAAAGCTTTCTTGATTGTTTGGTGCATATTTATCATATTACCAAAAGCCAGGAGTGTTTGATTTCCAGTCTCTTATGGAACTGGAGGGGTCCAGGGACGACCTCCTGTATGAACTGCATCGCGTGCCAGATCACGACAAAGCTGATGAAAAGCTGCTGGAACACTACTTCTCTGGAGTTCAGAAGCTGTCCAGTGATCTGTCCAAGCAGTTGTGGCTCATTCTGTCCCGGATGATGACCACTGTACAGCGGGAACCAACCACCATCGTCACAGCGCTGCGAATTGTGGAACGAGAGGAGGCCATCGATGCCAAGTGCATCAAGGTATCATATGAAGAGTGGCTCAACTAATGATTCCTTAATCAAGTCAGTCATCCTAGACCTAGTGAAAATAATTTCTTGTCATCAATCCCATATGACTTGAGTTTTTTAGTTTGGAGGCAAAGTTTAGTTTGGATTTTCTGCACTGGAATGTGAAAAAAGTTGTTACCCCTTTTTATTTGACTAGGCTGCCCATCCAAATTACCTTACCCTAGGTATGAAGGAACTCATGCATTCAAGAACTTGTGCATTATAGGAGCTATGGGTTTCTGTAAATGTACCCTTGCTTTTTCTAACATATTCAGCGCAACGAAAGCTCAGGCTTCATGCCACCAGGGAGACCCAAGAGATGGAAGAAGAAGGCATTTGAGGTGATCAAGGACCTCGTGTCTCGGAGCATTGAGAGCAACCAGGTCCAGAATCGGGAGCAAAACAAGATGTGGATCGTGCTCCACTTGGAACTCCTCCGGAAGATGACACTTACTGACATCAAGATCATGAAGAACCTTGTTGTCCCCTGCTTCCCTCCTCATTATGACATATGCAAATGCTACACTCGGATGTACCATGAGAGCCTCGGAAATCATGTGAGCATTGTCAGATGACAGAGCCTTTGCATTTTTATTCATTTGTCAGTCACTGATGCATGGCAACAATTCCTTCTAGCTGAAAGAAGTAATCCAGATGGGACTTGAGGGGAATGAGTTTGTGTCAGTCCTACAATGGGTCCTGAACACTTATCCAGACATCATGAAGGCCTTGGACATCAACCCCCATGAGTATGGTCCTCTCTTAGATTCATCAGTAATTAATGACTTGGAGAGAACGTACATCAAGGTTAGAATTTGCGCTTCTAGTGGTTTGTTGCACCAGATCATTTTCATCCTCTGATCTCAATTGTTCAATGTTTTATCAGAATACCAATGACAACTTGTCAAAATGGCTGCCAGCAACACTGGACACAGCAGTGAAGGGTTGGCGCAGCTCAAATCCTCCTGATGCTGACGAACAGAATTGCCACCGCACCACTGTACCTTTGGATGTGACTGTGATGGTTGAACAAAATATCACTGTTGCCAAAACTATCAGGTTTGTCTTTGCAAAAAGTGTATAGAATCCAATCTATACATTTCTTCTCGGCTCATGGAATCATAACCCATTTATAGATATCCGTATCATTTACTGCTCCATCCACTTGCAGATTTGATACAACTGCAAAGATGCTAGACGTGTGCATAGACCAGGTGGTTCAAGTCCTGTACAAGTGGAAGAATGAGGTCTTGAAGTACAAGAATGAGTGCTTCCAAGATCGCAGTCAGGTACAAAGATCCATGTGTTTTATCCATCCAGGCGTTTCAACACCTGGATGAACACTGATCTTGCTAAGAGACTTTTCAAGAGTTGTTCATGTTTTTGTCTTTCTTCATCCCTCAGTATCAATGGTTCACTCATTACATGGTGGCCAATGTGAATGATGCCCTGGAGATGGCCAAAATGGGAGAGAAGTTGAAACGTCAACATTGGCCACCCGAGTATGACACGCACAAGATGAAGCCCAAGTTTGAGAAACTCAAAACCATTGGACTGGTGAGACTCTGAAATTCTGATACACACGTTCACCATTCTTGAATCTTCATATCCCCCATTGGTTAATTTGCACCACATATGATAGTAAACTCATAGGAGGCTGACTATTGGGATGGACTTTAACATTTTTTTCTGTATGGACATTACCACTGACATCTAGCAACTTTCTGATATCCAAGGGTAAAAATAATACCATTTTAGTGACTGATATCCTTGGTATTAGTACATCTATGTCATAAATCATGGTAACTGATAATGTTAATGCACTATTTTGTCATGAACAGGAATTAAATGTACTTCTTACCTTATGTCTGATTTCAGTAAAACTATTATTCATCTACCTTCATGTGGACTGTATTGGGAAATGTAATGAGTATTTGGTGGTTTGATTTAGAGGATGAAGGTGTAACTGAGAAAAAAAGGTGATATAGTCCAGTAAGATATCCTCAAAATGGGTTTCAAAATTATAAGCTGATAGTCTTGATCCATTTGTTCTATTTCCTTAATATTACATGGGCCTGTTCTCTTTACGGATGCTCCAACTTTACCTTCACTATTGCTGCCATAATGTCTTCCCTTCTTTTATATTTGAACCCATTTTTTATTAACGAAAGAACCTTCTCAGAGGAGAAGTCCCATTTAAGGCCAATAGGCCCTTCTCTCCCCACCAAAAGACTTAGTGGAATTAGGATAGAAAAATCCAGTCTTTGTGGGTTTGATGACAAACAAAATATGATGTTTAAATTGTGTTGAGGCTGATTCTTTGCCACTACAAATACTACTTTGCATTGTCCAGTTGATTTTTGAGGGTGTCCTACAAATGCAAAACCTGCAGCTCCAGGGAGATTGTATGCCATTGAATTGTCCTGATGTAATTGTGTTAACTTGGATGCCTTAAATGCAAAAATTTTGACTAAAATTCCCCTCAATTTCCAGCAACTACGAGATGATGCAGCAGGTATGCTCCTCGAGGAACCGTTTGTGGATCTAGAGATGCATTTTGTTGATGTTTTCTCCAAGAACTGGCTGGAATCCACAATCGCAGTGGAGACCATCTGCGTGACCATGGAGGACTACTTCAGTGACTATCGCCGGCTCACACAGGAGAATCTGATCTATGTTGCTCTTAGGGCCCAGCGTACGATTGCCATCAAGTACATGACCGCCATGCTGGGTGGGAAGCGCTACGTGCCCAAGACCCAAGAAGATCGCACACGTGCAGGGCAGAAAGTATGTGGAGAGTCTTTACAAATGAAGTCCACATTTGCCAAGCTCTCCTTACCAGTCGGTACAGAGGCGACATCTCCCTTCGACTGTCTCAAAGCCATCGGTGAGATCCTCAAGGTCGCCGATTGCGAATTCATTGCTCTGGAACTCATCGGTATGGTGAAGCGATACCCAGACCTCTCTGTGGAATTGCTGACGGCCATTCTGAACCTCCGTGGGGACATGAGCCGTTCAGAGATGAGGGAGAGAGCAGCTGATGCCATCATGGAAGGCAGGAAGGAGGTGACAGGTAGTCCTGCAAAAACTGTTTTCTCTGAGGTTACCCTCCCGCCAAAAATTTTAACCCAGATTTTTGGCATTGAGTCTTGATAGCCACTGTTTTATTTTTATTGTTTAGCGACAGGATATTGTGATGAAATCTTGATTATATTATTTAAATAATAAATCTTGTATTTTGTATGGTTGACATGAAATGATGAAACCTTTGTTTCAAAGAGGGTGGTTGCCATACAGTAATCCCTTGTGATGAGGTCTCCCTGAGTTGATATTCACATTCCCAGAATGGGGCTGTTCATGAGATTATGAACAGTAAGCAGTGGATGAATCCCATATCTGGAACTCATCTCATCAAAGCATGATGTTTATGATCTATCCCACCATGTTTATTACATGGATTGAATTCTGAGACAAATTTATCCTTTCAGTGGTTTTCAGTTGCCCTTGTGATGAGACATCTACTCACACATTCCTTTCCATTGAGACCACCTATTACCCTGTTGGAACTGATCAAGGTTCGCATCTTACCAGCCATAGGTAAGAGACTGGATCTATTTCAACTACTCTGTTAAACCTGGAAGTTTTTCAGTATGCAGCACCACAGGCACTTGTTCTGTGACATAATTGCTTTGGTCTTCGAAATGTGCATCCACATGACAGGCACTTGGTCTGAAAATCCACAGAGAAAATCCACGATGGCAGATGTTGAGGTTAGGTCTGCGGTGGAGAAACTGCGACCCCACGTGAAGAAGCCAATTCTCCTTGCCCTGGGGAACCCGTTGTTGGACATGACAACGCAATGTGAGCGGGATCTACTCGAAAAGTATGGCCTGAACTCAGATGATCAGATTGAGGTTGGCCTGCATCAGCTCTCCCTCTTTCAAGAAGTCATGGACAGGTCAGAAACTTAAAATTGCTTTCATGTCTAAATGCTCCTAGGAAACTGTCTTTGGATTCCTGTCTGTATCTCAGTTGCATATTGTGTGATAAAAAGATCATCGCGTGATTGGTATTTGCAGATTGATAGGTTTTATGCAACTTGGTAAAGTTTTGCATGCAAGCCAGTGTGGCCAGTCTTGACATTCTGTGTTTGGAGCTTCCAATATGTGCTAGGGCTTCTACTAACAGCATTATTCATCCGTAAATTGCAAGCTGTTTCATTCATGTGGCTTGGTGAGAGAAATTACCCAATACCATGATCCACATCAGGTACAAGGTGGAGTACTTTGCTGGTGGAGCTGCCCAGAACACAGTTAGGGTGTTTCAGTGGCTTCTCGGTCGAGATGGGGCATCAGTGTTCATGGGTGGAATTGGAAAGGACCAGGCGGCAGGGATCCTCGCAGGTCTTGTGGAGGAAACGGGTGCCATTGTCCGGTTTGTATTCCCTCACTCTCCTCTCTGGTGCTTTCTTCCATCTGATATATATTATAGGCTTTGAAGTGCATATGATCCCCCCTTGCAGGCCTCATCCTCCTCCTAACTTAGCCCCTTCTCATGCTGGACTCCATCTCTTCATTCTACAGAGCTGACTCAGAGCATTTTTGCATTTGCTTACCACGTCTTGGAAGACTGGTACCAGTTTGTGTGCTTATTCATGCACTTTAATATTGCCATCTTTGGTTTAGTAATCCTCATTTCACTTGCTCATGTATCTCTGATTCATTTACATGATTGAGCTTCATTCAGTTGAAAAACTGAATTTATTAATATCCAAATCCGTTTTAGCAGCTCAGAGACCTACAATTTCCAACTCCTGGAACTATTGGGATTTCAGAATGTCAGTAGCAAAGTTGGTGTTTGTTTTGCTGTTCCTCCTGCTTGCTTCGGTTTACATACTTCCATAACAGGACTATCCGCCTCAGCTTTTTTGTGCCTTTCTTGCTGATATTCATGTGATTTTAACACGTTGACGACCAGCCTATTTTTGCTTGTCCGCCGCGTGGGACCACGCGCATTTTTTTTTTTTAAAAATGCGTCCTGCCATCAGGTTCTGAGTTTTTTTTTAATGTTTAATTTTTTGGAATTTTTATCAGTAATTACAAAATCATAATCTTCTGGAACATTCTCAACAGTTCCAGAGGGTATTCATTGAAAAAAAATCTGCATCCTGGCATCAGGACGCATTGTCGCCAATGTGTTAATGAAACATTGGAGATTTCAACCTACTGCCATGTCACACCATGATGTTGTCTTTTTGCATGCCTTTCATTCAATTTGGGTTCAAGATGCTGTATTGATGGATTGTAATCTTGCCTTTGGTGCCAACTTACTTTAAAAATGATTGCTTTATGTTATAGTTATGCACCTCATGATGAGCAGCCCACAGGGACGTGTGTTGCCCTCATCAATGGCACAAACAGGTCTCTCTGTGCCCTGATTGGAGCAGCCAATTACTTTGACGTCGATCACATCATCCGAGATGTTGACAACTACAAGTACTTCCAAGATGCTGAAGTGATCTACGTCGAGGGATTCTTCATCACCCACTCTTTCCCTGCTGCCCTCGAAGTTGCCAAGTTGTCCCGATCGACCAACAAGATCTTCACCTTGAATCTCTCAGCTCCTTATATCTGCAATAATTTTGGCCGGGAACTGAAACAGATCTTACCGTATGTAGATGTCTTGTTCGGGAATTCACTCGAGTATCGTGCCTGTGCGAAAATGCTTGGAATGTCTGACATTGACACAGCTGATGCAAACAGCATCGCATCACTCGTTGCCCTGTTCTCAGATGAACATGGCTTGCAGGACAAAAAGTACGGGCCATTCCGGAGCCACCGCACGGCTGTGATGACCAGAGGCAAGAATCCAATTGTGTGTTACCACAACCGTGAGATATCTGAACATCCTGTGTCACAGGTGAAACAGGAATGCATCGTTGACACGACGGGTGCCGGCGACTCGTTTGTGGCAGGCTTTCTCTCCCAGATGGTCCTGGGACGAGACCTGGAGAAGTGCATCAAGTGTGGGATGTATGCATCACACGAAATCATCCAGCGCATCGGCTGCACCGTCCCCGAGTATGAGCCGAGCGAGGAGTTCCAGCCTGCCGAAGGAGAGCTCTTGTGATATCAGAACCGTCCTGAAGGTTTGATCATGTTTCCAGGATTCCATAATTCTCAGTCTGATTTTTGTACATGCCTAGATCTGACTGTAGAGAAATCGGTATGGCTATGCTTTACCCTAATGATTGCAAGTCAGAGGGTCATGATTATATCCTGAGTACTGCTTTTTGCAAACTGTAGATCTGTCTAGAATGAAATACTTGACATTTTTTAAGGTGATAACCTGAGTGACTGAAGGGAGAATAGCTGAAAGTCTCAGTAGAAAGTCCATAATGGTGCATCAATTTTAGTGACCTTTTTAATTTCTCCCCTCATAAAAAAATGCTGGCGTAAAAGTTAAAAAGTTAAAAACTGTGATAGTAAATCTGTTTCACTTCTTGTGATAGTCACATTTCTTTGCTTCATGTGCCAGAGTCTCATCTCTCTTTTCCTTGATTCTGTGAGGAATGTTTTCTGATGTATCAATACAATAGCTATTGAGATCCTGTCTTGGATCATTCTGTTACATGATCATGTACTAAGCTGCTTCCTGCTGTAGTTGCTCTTTAACCATTGCACTCCTTTGAATAAATATAATTCTCATGTAATGATGTGAAACCTTAGCTTGTTTTTTATGAACTTTTTTTTTTCATTCTCATCTGTTTCATCCTTTTGAGTCATGTCTTTTTTTGGTGCTGGGGAACAGCACAGTCTCATGAACTTTCATCATATCCTTGAATCATGGCAGCCATTCTCCTGAAAACCACTGCCATGGTGTATGCACTGGCAGAAAGTTTATTTTTGAAGTTATTGGTCCTACTTTTCTGTTGACTCATTATGCAAATAAAGTCTTTGCACTATGCTCTCCCTTTTCTCATCGAAGGCAGCTCTGACGAAATGATATCCTAGCACAATCGAAGTTCTTCCATGAATTGAGATGCTGTGAATAAAAAAATCCACGAGCAATGGGGACAGAAATTGGCGAGAACGCCGAGATTTCACATTTGAACCAATAAATTAAATCTTTTCAATGGGAAGAAAGGGACAACATTCATCATTTTCTCTATTGTTCTCATGACTTAAACTTTATATATTGAATAGAAGGAAGCTAGGAGTGACGAAATTCGATACCATGAGTTATTGTCATCAAACGATAGGTAAACCCACGTGAAACCATTGGCGTAACCAGGATTTCGCCAAAGGAGGGGGGGGGGGGGATGCATTTCAATTTCAACCAGAGTTGGGGACTAGAACCAAACTTGGGGGAGGGGGGATGAAGCCCCCCACCTCCCCTCACTACGCCACTGAACGGCCCTGGATCGTTATGCTGGATTACTCTGCCTGTGACAATAGGCAGAGCAGATCCTGCAAAACGAGTATAAGTCGTAATACGATTCCCATAAATGCCTCCTGTTATTTTATTCCTCACGTTGGAATCTCTTTTTTTTTTCATTTTCCAAGAAAACCAGAAAAAAAAATGAAGCAACGAAGCCAGGATGAGAGGGTATGCATCTGTGCGGGTTCGGAAAAAAGCCCCCCAGAATTGACAAAAGCGGATAAAAGCCATCCGAGATGAAAATGCGAAAAAGCCACCCAGGTCATTGCTTAATAATTTCTCATTTATATATATTTATACGTTTTCAGATAATTAAAGACATTCACTTGTTTTTATGTTTAATAACATTTCAGTGAAGTTGATCAAATTACATGACATCAATATCACTAAATGTCGCAAAAATGAATGAGTCTTTAATCTGACCTGAACATAACTGGATGGCTTTTTTCCGCCTTTGCCAATTCTGGGGGTCTTATTTCCGGGTGGCTTTTTTCCTAAAATCGCATCTGTATACCCTGGGCATACGCATCCAATTCCATCGGGAATGGACCGTGCATCCTCCGTCTGGCTCCTTACGTTCGTTTAATTCATAGCCCCCCCCCCAGGGAAAAGTTTGGATTTTAGAGTAGAAGAGATCACCAGCGATTTACGTCCGCCGGTACGCGTACCAGCACTAATACTTCTGATTTTTTTGTCACTGGAACGCGCCTTAAATAATAAGCTGTTGACAAGAATAACGGAAAAAATATTGTTGCGTGGACTAGCTGTACAAGATGTCCCAGAAACCCCGCCCTATGTTTTGTACATTATTGTCTTTTTTTTCTGATGGAAATGAGCTTTATATAATTCGAAAGCCTAGACCTTTCTTAATAACTGCTGTTAAACCTGACGGTTTCTGATTACTGGTTGCGGTTTTTTTTTTTTTTTTTTTGAAAGAGAAGTTGTATGATACAAAACCCCTAACGTCCCTGACATCAGCGCCATTTCCACAAAACCGAATACCAAGAGCTTGGACATGTGCCAGAAAGCAGTGAATGATTTTCCCCAGTGAGGCCGAATGTGTCATGATCAGAATGGGAACCAATTTCAGTGGCAAAAAGATTGAATCCCAGAAACCCCGCCCCAAGTTTGAACGGAGACTAAGACTAAGTGCATGGCGTTGATGAGGGTTAGGGGTTTTGTAGCATATACCTTCTCTTTAAAAAAAAAAAAAACACCACAACCAGTAATCAGAAACCGTCAGGTTTAACAGCAGTCGTTAAGAAAGGTCTAGGCTTTCGAATGATATCAAACTCATTTCCATCAGAAAAATAAAGACATATTAATGTACAAAATTTGGGGCGGGGTTTCTGAGACACCCTGCAGTTTGCTCGCAAAACGTCACGGAGCTCCAGCATAGAAACAACCCCATGAACACAAATCTTGAATCCCAACTGCGTCACAGCTGAGGCTGACGCGGTCAGACGAGAAAACGGCGGTCCGGATTATTTCCAGCACGGATTCCAGGCGAGACGGTGCCAGTGGCGGGTCGTCGGGGTAGGCACGTTAAGCCTAACCTGCACCAGACAAGAAAGGGAGCATCGAGGGATGCCGTGAATTTAAGCAATTTTTACTCCATCTTAACTTCTAAATGACAACGTTTCAGAATGCCTCCAGCCAGAATATTTGGGCTTCTTCGTGCGTCGGTAAATTTGGCGAAGTACTGGAAACGCTGGAAACGAGCAAAGCCATAAGAAAAGGGCGGAAGAACGCTCACTGCTGGGTCCGGGCTTCCCCCCCATCGCAGGTAAGTCAGAGCCTGCGCAGTTCCAACCTAGGCCAGCCTCTCCCTGGCCTAACCTGCTCCTACTCACTTGGAGCGGGTTGGAGGAGCAGAGGGGGAAAGGGCAGCGAAGTGAACGGAATGAGATTTAGGCCGGGGGGAGGAGAGGCCTGAGTGCTATGTTGCCAAATACATGCAGCGTTGCCAAATATTCTTCCACTCCCTACTCCCACTCCGATGAAATTAGGAATCCTCCGAAGCCAGTTTTTCCATCTCGTTCACCTGTTTTATCAGCACCATGACTCGCGTAGGTCTTTCATTCCTTCAGATCTCTTTCTCCAAAAACTTTTATTTTCTCCTGCCCCTGGCAGTGATTTATGCAATGAGGTTCGTGTAGATGATGTCACGTTTCCCCAACCAATCATATCTGCGAGCATGACTTATACCCCACATTATATAACAATGTAGGTCTGAATGTGAGAGGAAAATTGTCAATACTTGAAACACTAAGCAAGAACTCATTGGCTTGCAGACGTTTCCTATCGAAGTACAATCAAGTGAAAGGTAATGTGAAAGCGGCGACAAAGTCATATTTGTACCGGCTTCGCAAACGCAAAATGATACAAACGGGAGTCATCTTAGAACCTAGCCAGGTTAGAAGAGTAGAAAAGGTTGGGCTACATCCCAGCGGGGGGGGGGGGGGGGGGGGGGGGGGGGGGTGGGGAAAGTCCCCCCCCCCCCCCCCCCCCCCCCCCCGCAAGCATGATCTTGAAAAGCGATAAGACTCAAAAAGGCGAAATCCCGGATAACCCAGGGGTTCGTTCTTCGTTCTCCTCGTCGGTAGAACGCCAGTCCCCGCATCGCTCGGCAGTCAGCGGTGAGGCGAGTTCTCATCGACGTTCTTTGTGTCATGACGCGAATCGGTTCCGTTGACGCTAGGCCGTTCGTTTCGACCGTGCAGCTCGGAATGGTCAAGTGCAAAAATGCATTCGGAATCCTGAGACCGACGATCAGACCGAGAAGTTGTGAGCTTAGAAATAAAATTTTCCCCGCTTTTTCGCGATGTGATTCTCTTGTGTAAGTCATGATTCCTAGATCGCACCCATACGGGTGTTGGGATTAACGTCTCGATCATAGTCTCAGCGTTACACCTATCATATGAGGTGAGAAGCACATCAGAGTATTCTCGAAAGAAGAGGTAACTTAGGCGCTAACCTAGGCGCTTTTACGTTTACGACTACCCAAACCGATGATCGACGCGAGATGCCGTTTCTCCGTCACGACGATGCAGTCGCGGTCGTCATGGCAGCCCTCCCCCGGGGGAACCAGCTCTTTCCATCGCATCCAGGAGTATGAGATACATTTTGGGGGTCAGACTTTTTGAAAGCAAGCGGACTCGGAAACAGTCTACTGACGAAGCCATTGTGCAATGGGCAGGGCAGTCGGAGAATACTCACTAGAGGCGATTGGTAGGAGAGAACTCCGAAGGGGGTTAACACTGCGCCATATTTTCCCCTTTTTTTTCCCCCTCATCGTTCCTCGTTTCGCCCGAGCGACGAACTTCCGTTTCCCTTCCAGCAAGTTTTCCCATTGTTTTCTCTCTCTCTCTCCCCCCCCTTCCCCTGCGCCCGCTCATCGTCATCGTAACGTCACGCGTAACGATGAGCGGGAACGACGAATATCGTGCGAAGACGTCGGATCCCCCGCAACCCAGGTTAGAAGAGTAGAAAGGTTGGGCTACATCCCAGCGGAGGGACTCGAGAGCCAATCACGTCACTGGTATACACTCTCCTCGGCTGACTGATAAAATCTCCTTTTTCTAGTCTATTTCTCCTGTTAAAAATGTCATATCGGCAAGTTTTTTCTTGCCATATTACCTTGCTCTTTGCACTTCCATTCTATTGCACTTAAACGATTGCATCTCTAGATTGTGGTGCTGCCAGGATCATGGCATTCGCAAATGCCGGTACTATGTGCAGTCGTCGCCCGCAAGAACATCTGATGATTTTGGAGCCGACGAAGAAAAAAATGTTCCTTTCATCGTTTCGAAGGAACCTGGATAGTTAAAGACCTAAGTGATGCGGTGCAAACGCGCGGAAAACGAAATCCCTGAGGGAGGAACCCCAAAACAACCCTGTGGGGTCGACTGTCATCTTTCGCCGAGATGATCCAATAAAAATTCATTCCAAGTCGACCATCGAGTATCCCGAATATTTGTAAGAACCTGGATTATCTTCATAAATTCTGAGTTGCTCAGCAAGGACAAGGTGAGGAAGAAACGGAAGTCTCTCGTTGAAGTTTTTGAGAAGGAATATCCTCATGGTGTTCGTGAAAATCACGCGATTTGCCCCGACCATGACAAACAAGCTCCTTTCCTCAGATTTTGGGATAGAGCAACACAGAACGAAGAAGTGTGACAATGAACGCATATTTTCATTGCCGTTTCAAAAGGGCAAATGACACATGTTAACAATTTCCGTAAATAATAGGGTAATCGTATGAGGTGTGACCTACCAA